TTTTACAAGCCAAGTAAAACATAAATAATTTCTAAGTTGAAATTGGTCTCTGTGGGAAAAGGGAGTAGATTTGGTTACAAACAGTTTACAAATTTAACATGCAATCTGTCATCATGCTAACAGATTTCGTGGTGGCATTTTTTAAATTAGAAACTTCTTGGTTTTGAAATCTCAGGTAATAATGGAATTCTGTTTTCTGAGAAAGTAGTTGTTTTGAATATAAGTGGAGAAGTGGGATATTTTCATCTAGTCTTTCTGGAATATGAATTCACAGGTTTGTGATGATATGTGCTGCCTAGAGACTTGATGTGCATGTCACGGGTTTGGGATTTTTCTGTTCTTTGTTGATTAGTTGTTGTTTGGAGTCTTTTTATGGACAATCTCTTGCTTTGCTGATGTGCTTAAGGGCAAAACTGGAACTTTGTGATTTTGTTTTTACTACCAAAATACATGTATTATGTAAAAATATATTTAGGCAGTATAGCCAAATTGCTCGTTTGTCTCATTAGTACTAAGAAGAAGTTACTTGTGGTTTTGATTTTTTTGTTTTGTTTTGTTTTCTTGTTTTGGTTTTGTTTTGGTTTGTTTTTTTTTCCTCAGCTTTTGTTGTTTCAGACAGAACCCTTTGATACTCTGGACTTATGAACTTCCCCAAGTCCAGGTATTATTGGGATTCAGAATTCCCACGGTTCAAAATTAAGCCAACCATTGTATTAGTTCCAAAAAATAAGATCAGTTTGTTTCTAGTGCTGTGTCTCCTTGAAAGGCTTAAGTTCTCATCTTTTCTTAGCAGACTTCTTCCCAGGGACTATTAACATGTCACTGAGAAGGAATTTTGAGCTCAACCTCATCGCCGCAGCTGCCTGTTTTCTCTAGAAGTTGTTGTGGGGTGGTGTGGGACCTGTCTATTGGAAGGAACAGAGAGGAAGATCTCAGTTTACCTTTAACGGTTTTTCGGCTTCCTCTTGAGGCTCTACTTGTTCAGATGCAGTCAAGCTCTCAGAGAGCCCTGCCAGATCTGCTGAAGGCTACAGCTGTTGGATGGAGAGGCCCCTGTGAAGCTGCTGCCGGATTTTCATCAAAGATGCACATGTTGGTGAACTGCAAGAGTAGGGAGAAGTAGAGGAGAGGAGCAAGGGAAGGAGCAGTTTAGGAACTCCTATCTAAAATAAATGCATGTCCCCCAGAAACGCCTTAACACCATGTTTAAGTGCCATGTTTATGTGATTTACACATGTTATCATTTTTATTCCTTGGAAGAGCTTGTGAAGGAATAATCATGTGAATGACACAGTAAAAAATAGTCCTGCTAATCTTACTCACCCTTCTTAATGACTTCAGGCACTCTGCTTGGGTTGTTCCAGAGATAAAATAGGTAAAACAACCTGGTTTCTCCCCCTTCCAATACCTTTAGGTATTGCCCCCTTCAGGGCCTGACAAAAAAGCTGGGGAAAGAATTTTTTATAAAAGCAAGCAGTGATAGGGCAAGGGGTCCTAACAATGGCTTTAAACTGACAGAGGGTAGATTTAGGTTAGATATTAGGAATGAACTCTTCCCTGTGGGGGTGCTGAGGCACTGACACAGATTGCCCAGAGAAGCTGTGGCTGCCCCATCCCTGGCAGTGTTCAAGGCCAGGTTGGACACAGGGGCTTGGAGCAACCTGCTCTAGTGGAAGGTGCCCCTGCCCGTGGCAGGGGTTTGAAACTAGATGATCTATGATTCTGCGGTTTTCTGATCTTTAAAGTCCCTTCCAACTCGAACCACTCTGTGATAGTTTCTGCTCAGAGTTCTTGCAGTTTTGCTCAAATATTGCAGTCTGAACCTAAAACCAGTGAATGTACCTTACAAAAGAAAAGCGTTCTCAGTAATTCTTACTGCTTTTTTTCCCTTATGTTCAGTGTTTTATCAGTCTCTCCTTGCTTTTATAAGTCCTTTCTGTCAGGGCTTAGGTGGATACTGTAAATAGTAAGTGTTCTCTCCTTGATACAGTGGCATCTGGTTTGATCAGCCAGCGCACGGCTTTTATAACTTTTTGGGTTGCTATGAAAAACAGTGCCTTGCTACGAAATTGTTTTTTCTCAGTAACAGCACTCATGTCGAAGTAACTCCTTTTAAAGCCAGGGAGTGCACGACTACCCCTGGGGCCTTTCTGATGCTGCAGGCAGTATCATTTCAAATGGAAGCTGATTTCTAAATCCTCTGGAAAGAGCTGTCTCAACCAAGAAATGTTCAGCTTTTTTGTCAGGTTTGCTCCTTAGAAGCAAAATTGACTCCAGTGCTTGTGTTTGTGTTCACTGTATGAAGTTGAAATTCTCTGCCACTGGCAGAAGAGGACTGTGTGCTCCTCTGTTTGTCTTCGCCCTTGATAGATACTCACATGCTCTTGAGAAAGCTGAGAAAAGTGTGGCATGAGCTGTGAACTGAAGTTAGTTACAAGTGAAGTCATTTTCTTTGTGGCAGTGGTGTCTGTTTTTAAAATGAGCTAGCCTTATGAGAGGAGGAGGATAGCTGTGGTCTGATACAGTAAATGGGAGTTGCCCGTCTTCTCGTAAAGGGGAGCACAGCTTCCCTTTCTCATCTTACAGCTCCTGTTCTTGTCATTTCTATGGAACATCATTAAGGGTTCGTTGTGGGTGAAACGTAATTTCATCTTATTTCCTAGGTAGCTAGCTAATGCTTTTGCATGTAGGGCTCATGTAAGAGATACGTGGCAGGACCTTTACTCAATACTTCCTGGTTTTCCATTGTTTTGTGAATTAAACTCTCATGCTCAGGAAGAACAAGAAATGCACTGACTATTGTTGAAAACCTGCAGTCTTAAGTAAGTGTTCTCAAGGAGTGGTTTGGTTTTCTTGATTTTTTTTTTTAATTGCGGTAGTACAGGACCTTGTATACACATTAGCTGTGCAACAGTTACAGAAGCAGAGAGATACTCATGTTTGAGGTGCAGAAGACTAAGCGATACCTAGAGGGCTGTATAAAAACTGTATAACAAAACTGGACAGCTAGATTAGAAGCAAAATGTGTATTACCTTCTCTCTTAGTGTACAACAGCTTTATTAATGTGTTTCTTCACCTGTGCTTCTTAAGGAAGGATGCCAGTGCAGAATTAAGCGCTAGATACCTGCATGGTTGCCTGGGAAGGCATCTCTCCCTGGGTACTGTACAGGAACCTCTATGATTGGCAGTCTGTCTTTACCACCACTGTGTAATACTTTAATTATTAACTCCAATATAATCAATGCCAGGGTATGTTTTCACATTTTCAGTGTGTGTCCCTTCCCACTCCCCTGAGGCATGTGGATTCCCATCATTGGTATGTGTGGTCCCGATCTGTGCTCCCCTGTCTCTGAGCAGTACATTGGTAGACTTCTCCATCGAAGTCATCATCTCTACTTCTAGGACGTTGAACATGTACAGCATCAGCCCCTTCTAGTGGTCCCCTCCATGGAGCTTCAGTTTTTCTCCCTAACTGTTGGCCATCCTGGCTGCTCTTCTCCTCTCACGTGGAGGTGTGTGGGACAAAGCACAGTCCTGTGCCCCCGGTTCTTTCAGGCCTAGGCACAGGTGGAGCAGCGAGCAGTTCCTTGCAGTGGCTCCAGCTGCTGGGCAGCTCTGTGGCAGGCAGGGGAGGAAGCTGGCCAGACACCTTACTTCCTTGTTGGTCTTGTTCTTGCACCATTTACAAAAGCCTGCAGGGCTGAAAATTAGGTGCCCCCGAGGTGTATTGCTATGAAATTTTTAGTTACTTACAATGTGGAAGAAGCTCTTGGAACCCACCAGTGTTTGTGGGCTCACCTGTAGTCTTTAGAGGAAGGAGTTATTGTCTTCCCCCGAGAAACTACCCATCCATTTGTCTTGTGTTTGAAACCACGCACAGAATGCCAGTGTAAGAAAGATTACTTTTTTGAGGTGATTAACATATAATTTGTATGGGCAGAGTGGGGAATTTCCCTGGACTGTATTACTTATGAATATTTGGCAATAGTCTAAGGTCTAGTTAGCACTTTCCTGATTGAGAGGCTGCCAGGGAAAACTGGGACTAACTGTTGAGTGCGTACCTTTTTTACCCTTTTAAGGTGGGGTTGTTTGGTTCCGGGGGATTTTTAGTAGGAGAACAGTCATGCTGGACCAGGACTAGTTCATTGTGGCCCTTTAGCTTGTGCAGGCACATGCTGAGGTTGCCTGTTTCAGGTGTCTGGTCTATCCTAGGTTTGGAAACAAAAGCTGTGATTAATCTCCATGAAGTGAGATAAAAGGCATTATCCTACCTTGCATTAGAGGGAGGTGGAAGTCAGCTTTTGTCACAGTGCATTTCCTAGTCTTGACACTCATGAATTTTCACTTATGCTTTTTCTTAGGTCTCCCTCTCTGTTGTATCTTCACATCTCTCTTTCTTACGCTTCAGACAGCATTTCATGTTCTAGTTGGTTTTCTGGTTCTGAGGCATCTCAAAGAGTTCTTCTTGCCCTTCTCCCATATCATGGCCATGGCTTTTTATTGCCACAGGTTTTAACAGCGCATTGATTGAGTTTCCTGCCAGACTGGTTAGTTCTAATCCTGGTGTCCTTGCTTATTAAGCAAGGTTCTGGTGTCCTTGCTTTTCCTCTGGTGGGTCCATGCTCCTTCTCTGTTCACAGTCACCCAGTACTCATTCATAGAGTTAGTAACATAACTGTATGTTACTCATTTTGTGGATGAGTAACTGGAGAGTTACCCACAGCAATTGTTTTCGTTGCATTGTTGGCAGAAATCTGCCTTGGCTTGAAACTTCTTCCCTGCCATAAAGGCTAAATACATAGTTTTTAATTGAATAGAGATGCCAACTTTGCAGGAACAGGAATTACCATCTTAAATACACAGGAAAGCTTGTGGGAAACTACTGGAAGTGTGCAAATTTGTAGCACTCCAGTACAGATTTACTCTGCTTTTGCTATGATTAATCCTTTTGTACAGCTTTGAATTAAAAAGTACTAACTGTTTTAATCCCTTTGGACAGGTTCAGCAACAGGTTCACCCAAACCTTTCAGCAAAAGAAGATTCCCTGTATTACATTGAAGAGTTGATACTGCAACTGCTAAACAAACTATGCATTGCTCAGCCACGGACGGTCCAAGATGTAGAGGTGAGATACCAGAAAACCGAGTGCTTGCTTGTAGAGTCATTGATGAACTCAGGAATTTTGAGCAGTGCAGGTTGAAGCTAAAGCAAGGTGAATCCAAAGAACAGAGCTTGTTAATACTACTTTTCTAAAAAAGATTATATAGTATTTGTATTTTATAAAACAAGTTTAATTGGAGACTAATGTTTCCAGGCAGGGCTTCAGAATAGGAATTGTGGGATTTTTCTCTCAATATTATTTCGATAAATGCAGAATACTTGGAAAGATTTTCTGCTGCTTGAATCCACTTTGGACTTAATGTGAGGATGTTGCAATTTTTCCTACTCTTTCACATAAATATAAAGAAAAAAGTGAATATTGGAATGAACGGTTACTGTTGTTAGGCCTGGATTGTGCAGCTGAGGGAATAGAGTTGTATGTTCCTGGAACTTTATTGAATTCACTGAGGCTCTTGTATTATTGCAGCTGTCTGCTTTTGTGTCATCAGTTACAAAATGAGGGCTTTAATGGAGTGTGCTTCAGTATACAGTCTAGAGGGAGAATGTGCTTTCATGTAGCTGTGACCCATTATAGCTTTGTAGGGTATTAATTTTACATCAATCTGTATGTCTAGGATTTTCAGCCTAACACAAAATGAAGTCATTGTCTATATTGTATATGTGTGTCATAGAAATAAATAAATTTAAAAAGATATATATGTGTACACATAAAATTGCCTGAGTGGTTTTAGTTTCTTACTAGATGCAGCAGTTGCCCTTTATTCAACATTGAGTTAATTTGTTAATTATTAATTTTGATTTATGATTAATGCTTCTTGTAATACTGGTGCATAAAGATTATGACTAAATAAAAGCAAAACTTGATAGATAGTCCCTAAATACCTCTCAGGATTTTTACTACCTTGTGTTTGGATTTGAACTTTAGATGTGGAGCTGAGAAATTCCGTGTTCTTTCTCCAGTTCCCAGCTGATCAAACCCTTCACCACACAGGACGGTTTGAGATAGCACTGGCTGTTCTATGCACCAACTCCATAGTTTTTTGCGTCTGAGTCGTGAGATGATAGAACTACCCTGTGTATGTATGAATTGATGATTTTCACTGGGTATATGTATGCTCCCCAAATTACTGTGTGCAAAACTGCACACAGTACAGCCAGCCTTCCGAGATAATCGGCAGCTCTCTTCATTGTGGTTATGAATATCACAGCGAACACTAAATCCTGTGTATTGTATTTAAATCTACCCAGCATTTTAAAGCTCTGCATAGTAAAATATTGGTGCACTTGGCAATAAGGTAGTTATTTAATTTAAAAATACAGAACTAGAAGGTATAATTTAGTTTTGTGTTATGGGTTGTTGGTGAGATTGCACTGCCAGCAAGCATCCAAGGTCCACGAATTAAGGCTTTTGGCTCTGCCTCTCTGCTGGTTTTAGCTGTTAAGAGAAAACATAAAGCTGTGATCTCTAAAGTTTATCATACAGATATTTGCGTAACAGCCTGGAGATATCTGTGCGTTACATTTTACTTCAGTATTTGCAAAATCAAGATCTAAAATCTCAAATTGTAAAGGTTTTATAAATAGAAAAAGCCCTTCCAGTTGTTCCCAAAAAAACACAGGGAACCAGTAAAGTCAGAGCACAAAAGGTGTGCGTTACCTGTGAAGTGCAGTGTTAAGTTGAAGGACAGCTGAGTGCCACGTTACATCCATTTTGCGGGTGATCTCCGGGTAGACTCTCAAGGAAAGTTCATTTCAGTGAACCAGCCCAGAGCTTTCGGCTGCTGTCCAAGAGGAAAGGTCACCATGTGTTTACCTGGCACAGACAACTGACGCAGAAGGTTGAGTGTTAAATGGCCACGTGCAAGTATTTAAAAGCTGCCTCTAAGAAGATCTTGTGCCTCTTACACGTATTTCAGAATATGTATAAAAATCTTTTTATCAAAGGACATGTTGATTACACCATTTTTTCTCAGCTTGTTCTTGAACTCAGCTATAAAATCTCTACTCTAAGAGTTACCACCTGTTCAGGCCTCACACTGTTATGGCCCAAAGCAGAGGTCAGGTATGGCACACCACCACATGCTGTGGCTGCCTGGCGATGCTGGAGGGTAAGGGCACCACAGTGGGCCGAGCAGCAGGAGGTGATCACTGCTCCCTCTTGAGCTAACTTAAAACCCTGTTTTTCCGAAGTCACTTAAGCAGTCATCTTAGTTCAGTTTAGACTTGTTCTTGCAGTGTTTAATTACCAGGACACAGTCCTGGAGAACTTCATGGAAAGCAGGACTGGGATCTTGTACATGTTTAGCCTGCGGGCTGCTGAAGTGTGGGACCGCTGCCCAAAGCGATTTGTTCTGTTGTGGGGGTCATCTTGCCTGTTCCTATAGCAGCTGTTGAAATGGGAATCTGTATAAAAGTAACCTGAAATTGCATTGAGTTTACCATGGTAGTGAAGGGTGTAAACTGCACCCACTGTGACTGGCTACGCAATGAGGAAGATGCTCCTGTGTGGGCTTGAGGAGACCACTGTTATAGCCGACCCTTTTCATGAATCGCAGTCCTTCTCCTCGTTAGAAGATCTTGCGCTTGTTTTTCATTTCTGCCATAAACCTGACCTATGTAGAGCAATTTAGACTCTTCTATGAAATAGGAACAATAGTGACTTGTGGGTTGTTGGTTGGTTTTTTTTGTTCATTTAGACTGCAAACTGTTTGGTACTTCCTGATGTTGTTTATATTTTGGGCTCCTGCTCTCAGCTGAGATTTCTTGCTGCTCTTGTGACGTAAAGATCATAGAGCAGTTGTTTTAGGAGATTTGAAGGAGTTCGTGTTTACAGAAGGGAGGTTATATGGGATTATTGAAAAGTGGGAAGCTGAGTTAGGTAAGGAGAGAACACTTAGGAAAATGTGTTGCAAACACTGAGGAGAGGGATAATTGTCTATACTTTAGGGGAAGTAATTTGATCTTTTGTTGTTTTTTTCTAACTTCTGTTTGATTACTGCAGTTAATCTAAGTGCACTCTTTATGTTTGGACAGGAGCGAGTTCAAAAGACATTTCCTCATCCAATAGACAAGTGGGCAATTGCTGATGCACAGTCTGCTATAGAGAAACGAAAAAGAAGAAACCCTCTCCTGCTACCTGTGGACAAAATACATCCTTTATTAAAGGTACTTAAGCCAACAACCTCATAACTGCTGCTTCTGCCAGCCACACACAGCTGTATTATAGCTCTCCAGCATAACTGTTTCTTTAATTTGTGTGAAATTAGGGCAGTTTAGAGTCACTGTAAACCAGAACGAATATGTTGTAGTGTGTAATAAAAGTAGATCCCTAAATTCATTATGTTCTAGTCAGTAGTGTGTTAATGTGTTACTCTACTTTGAAATATGATTAGTTAGTTTTTAACACAAACCCCAAACAAACTCAGATACCTTACCTACTTCAGTAGCACTGTTTTTGACACCTTTATTTGTTTCAAAATGTTGCTGAAGCCAAAATAGGAGAGAACAAGTAGGTCCTGTTCCTTGTATACTGTCAACTAAGATGTGTATCGGTGTCCTTTCAGTTACTGTTGAATGTCACTGATGCCCTGGTTTTAAAATCATAGCTCTGGAAAGGTGTTACAAAAGACCAAATACAGACTTCATTGTTGGTGGGTTTTGAGGGGAAGAGTGGCCATCTTGGTTCTTAGATGTTGTGTTACTTACAACATGTAAAGAGCTCCTGGCTTACAGTCAGGATTTAATGTCACACAGTAAGCATGGATTCATACTGAGCCCCTGTAGAGTTTCGGAAGGGGAGTTATGATAAAACAGTACTCTGATTTTTAAATCAGCATTTAATCACTTTTAAATCAGTGGTGAATCAATATATTCAGGCTGATTTAGACATTGCTCCATTTTGGGATTTCTTTTTTCTGTTGCTTTTGCTTTTTATTCATAGCTTTAAAAATGCTTTTCTCTAGTGGTGGCATTATTGCACCAGAGTTTCCAGCTGTATTAAGAAAACACTATTCAAGCATAAACAGAAATTAAAGCACTTCTTCAGGTCTAGTCACTGTTCTTATATATAGTGTCTCAGTTTGTGAATGAATGGGAGGGGAAGAGATGTTAGGAGAGAAAACAGTGTTAAATAAGACCTTCCTAGACAACACTGGCTTTCTTCTACGAATTCTGGTGTAGAGGTGTGTCGATACAGGCACAGATTCTGTTTTTTATAAGGTGCATCAAAATACGGTAAGAACAAGACTACTTTATTCACATGCATGATTTGATCTGTACTTACTCCTGATGGTCCTGTCACAAATAAAAGGCCACATAGCACATGCTTTGCAGAACATGGAGCATGTATTACAAGAAGAATGTGAAACATTCATCCTGGTTTTTTTTCTGTTCAGGCATTAATAATTAAAATTTAATTATTTAATGGAATGCAAGGGTGCAGATAGCTTAGTTGTTCAGCCAAATGTAAAGGATGGACTAAAATGGATCACAGTAACGCATTGAACATACAGTCTGTAGTTCCAGAAAGGTAAGTTCCATTGAGAACAATTCAAAACGAAGCAGCTCTTTTCTGAAGACTCCGGATCAGGGCCAGTCCTGCAGTAAGCATAGATAATAGACTGAAATCTAAGTACAAGAGTGGTTCCAGTGAAGTCCCTTCCCAGAAGAAACCTTATTTTTAGGGTTTTCATTTTTTGAGGAAGGGTTATTGAATGTTCTGTAGCTTTTCATCTGTCAGTGTATGGTGAAATAGCACAAGGAAATATTTGCAAGGATTTCCTTTGAGGCAGCTGCTCAAATTTCCATTTGATGACCTTTGCCCTGGCTATTACATTACTGTAAATTATCAGCGCAGACAAGATCAATTTCAGCAAAAACTTCAGTGTGTTGTCATTTTCAATGAATTTCTGGAATAAAGAGCTTTCTTTTCTCTCTTGCTTTTGCAGGAAGTCCTAGGTTATAAGGTAGATTATCACGTCTCTCTGTATATTGTGGCTGTCTTAGAATACATCTCAGCTGACATTTTAAAGCTGGCTGGAAACTATGTTTTCAATATACGACACTTTGAGATCTCCCAGCAGGATATTAAAGTCTCAATGTGTGCTGATAAGGTAAGGAGTTGAGATTAAAATGGTAGATACTAGAGTTGTTTTGGGGTGGATTTTTTTTCTTTTTTTCTTTTTTCAGAAGATACATCCAAAGTAGGATAGGAAGGGAAGACTGGTCTTACTCATATCCAGAAGCTTCTCCTGTTATTCATGCCACGCCTGTCACAGTAAAGACTTAAGTTTAAGACTCTTAAGTTTTGGAGCCCAAGTAGTACTTACAAAACAATGCAAGGACAGAAAATGTTGTTGTCCTTTATGTCTCCGCTGTGTTACTGTCCTCCTGATACCGCTTTGTCATGACAGCTCTTTCCTTCCGTGTAATACAGAAAAGACCTTTAGTTTTCATCCTCATTAAAATGAGAAACATTTTTGTTTAATTTTATCTTTATCAGGAGGGTTTTGTCAAAGGCTTATGCAAGATGCCTTGTTTTCAAAGTTGATTCTGCATGAATTGTAACTTGTTTTCTAGGTCGTACTAACTTACAAAGGGGAAAATGGCTTTGGCAAGTGATCCAGCCTTCTGCTGCCAAAGTTTAAATATTACTCCCTTGTGAAAGTGATCACAGAAAGTATTGTATTAAAAACTCAAAGGATTTCTCTGAACACATTGAAATAGCTGAGCTTGAGCCAAGTGTAAAAATCAGGCTGGCATGTAATTTTAAAATTTTTTTGCTAGGTTTTGATGGATATGTTCGATCAGGATGACATTGGTTTGGTTTCTCTCTGTGAAGATGAGCCCTCTTCTTCTGGGGAACTCAACTACTACGACCTAGTGAGAAACGAAATTGCAGAAGAAAGGCAATATCTGCGGGAGTTGAATCTGATAATAAAAGTATTTCGGGAAGCTTTCCTATCAAACAGAAAATTGTTCACACCTAATGTAAGTCCTTTAATAGGTTATTGATGTGTAATGCTATTTGCTCCATTAGCAGCTGTAACATATCAATTTTACATTAACTGTGTTGGGGGTGAAATTAAATTTGATTTATTATATGTCGGTGCATAATGAGTGTTGACTGTACATGAAATAAAATGGAGGAACTGCCATTAATAGTATGAAGAGTGCTGCTCTCAGAGTCAAGCTTAATGGACACGATTCCCTGTCAGATGCCAGCAATAGCTGGAGTCCTTTGGTCATATAGGTGATAGCTACACTTCTGCTTAACATAATGAACAGTTACCTACCTGCATGTACAGTGAATGCAGATGAATACTTGAATCGACATTGGAACTGTATTCCAGCACACCCCTATCTGCAGAAACTACAAGACAGTCCTTGGCTCTGGATTCTGTAGTGTGAGACTGACTGTGAAGGGAATCTCCATTTGATAAATGATTGAAGTATTTGACTGAAATCGTGTGTGTGGCAAATTTGATTTTCATGATGCTGGAGTTTAGAAGGGAAGCACAGCTCTTGTAAGAGAAGTAATTGTGAGAGATTAGTGAATCCTTCCTGTGGGACAACGGAGAAGGAAACCAGGCTTGCAGAACTTAGGTGATGTTAACGCAGGTTAAGAAGAGAGGCAGCAGGAGACATTCCCATTACAGCTGGTGTAGAGGTTCCTCAGTAGCTGATAGGGTATTAGAGAATCGTGCAAATGTGGGGGCAGAATTCAAATGAAGATGATGGGAAGAGAAGGGAGCAATATTTTGGAGCTGACGAATATTCTTTTGTTATATGGGAATGGGTATGAGAAATTTTGAGATTGCTTGTTCCCACAAAGAGGTTGCAATGGTCTTGGCACTGGCAAGAGGTCAGGCTAGCTCTGCAATGTAAGGTTGGGACAGAGAAGGCTTCAGAGAAGTATGTTTCAGAGGGGTCAGAAGAAGAATGCAGGTCACTGGAAGGGCTGCCCAGTTGGGTGTGTTTGTGGTGTGTGGCTTTGAAAAATCCGAAGTAGAATTTGGAAAAGGAAGATGCTGATTCCTCCTCTGTGCCCAGGTAGCATTCTGCTAAAGTAGCCCAAAAGCTGCTTTAGTTTTACTTGCACTTTAGAGGATCTGACCTTGGGGCTGCTTTAAATTGCCTCCTTCATGTTGTGTTCTGAGAGACAAGAATTGGCAGAGGGGAAAATAACAGCTGTGAATTGTGGATGAAGAGGCCAGCCATTTCTGTCCAAAGCATTGAACAGCATGCACCAGGACTGGTGCTGCTCTGCTCTGGCCTGGGAAGGATGGTTTGCTTGCTTTCACTGGGGTAAGAATTGTGCAAGGCTGGATGGGCCCGGGCAAGCCTGCAGGCCTGGCAATACCAGGTAATTTAAGATTTTCCTAGCTTTTTGTTGGCTCCTCTCCAACCTCTTGGTTCAGACTTCACAAAAAATGCTCCAGTATTTACATGAGCAAAATAAATAATTCTAAACACTACTACAATACATTTTACATTTGCAGGATATTGATGTGATATTTAGCAACATTTCAGATATTCACGAGTTGACAGTGAAGCTTTTGGGATTGATTGAGGATACTGTTGAAATGACTGATGAAAGTAGCCCTCATCCTCTGGCTGGCAGCTGCTTTGAGGATCTTGCAGAGGTACGGTGGTTTGTTGGTTCTTCTTGTTGGTTTATTTTAAATCACTGATTGTTTTATTTTCTCAGTAAACTTTTGGTCATGACTGAGATCTCTGATAAATTTGCAATTGTAAAATGTCTTTTTAATAAGCTCTGGGTAGAGATCTTCCCTACCCATTCTTAGTAATAAGCTAAAGTGTGTTTTCTACCCGTCACAGAAACAATACCAAGCAGGTAAGCACAAAACTAAAATCTTATTTCAAAGTGGGAATGAATTGCTACCGTCCTGTAGGGATGTGGATTTGAAAAGTAACTACCTGGGATTGCTTACTGAAAGAAAGTGGTGCATCTGATTTGTAGGCATTGGTGTCAGGATGAGGGCTACCCCAAAATCATAGCAGTTGAATGTAGATCTGCAAGATGAGTGGCTTGCATTACTCTGGACAGTGAGCTAATTCAAACAAAATGTATTTTTAATTAAGGCAAATGCATTATTGTACATCTGGAATGGGAACTGTCTCTGCAAAGTGATGGCCCTGGGAAAGAATGAAGTATCAAAATAGATGTGCAGCTGAACAGAAGCTTATGTTTCAGTAGTGCAGCAAAAGTGCAACTGATACCCATTGACGTATAAAATAGACATTAAAGAGAAGAAATAAGGGAAGACACTACACACGGACTTGATGTGGCTCATACTGAAACATTATTAACAATTATTTTGTCAGTTTTGTGGGGTCTTTCAGTTTTGGGGTTTTTTTTTTTAATGGCCATTGAAATATTGGAAGGACTACAGAAGAGAGTCACAGAACTAAAGTTTTGAGAAAGTGCTTTAGAGTAAGATTTATCTCGGCTTATGCAAACCAGGATAGGTATGTATGTACCTTCTTGTCCTGAAAACAGAGTACAAAATTGCTCTTGAATGCAGCAGAGAGGTGCGCAGCAAAAAAAAAGCTGTTTCTGAAAGACAAGAGGACAGTTCAGTTCAGAAATACACCACAGCTTTTTAACTATCAAGGGCAGCTACCTGGAAGCAAACTACCAAGGTAGATGTGGAGATCTGCTATCTCTGGACATGTTTGAATGGAGTCTACTTTTTCTTGAGAGGTCTGTTGACCACAGGTTTTTTGTACCAAAATGTACAAAATGGACATTGTAATCATTGACTGTATTTCAGAGGAAGTCAAAAGAGATGTTGTGGCCCAAGAGAGAATCTCTCAGATGAACCACATGGTGAATGTGACGTTTATGGGGTTTATCTTAAAATTATTATATTTATAAAGAAAATGACAACCAATACAACTTCCATTTCACTTTTACATTTCTTTTTTTTTTTAATCTGAGGACTGCATGAACACACCAGTACCATTTGGTAAACAGTTACATTTTTGTGGGGGTGAAGAATATGGATCCTTCAGCCCATGTGCTGTTCACTTAAGAATATACCATGAAGTTTTTGTGGCACTACTTCAATAAAGCACTCATGACATATCATTAGGAAAGTCCAGTTGCCTAGGTGTTAGCTCTTAAGGCATAATTGCTTATATAATGACAAGGAGAAGCATTTGAACAATGAATTTAAGTAGCTTATATTAAAATCGAAAAAACACTTAAAATTTGGAATAGAACAGCACTCTCCTGGAAAACATGCATATCTCCATTTATTGAAAAAGCTACTTTTAGGCAGCTTGTGCTTTAAGAGAAACAAATCCTTTCCCATGAGTAAAAAATCTCACCTGATTTTCATTAACTGAAAAACTTAATAGGAAATGAAGAACAGATTATTCAAGCCTTTTTATATAGATAGTAAGTTTGACTATAATAATTCAGTTAATATGGAGCAAGACTTACTTAATACCTAGACTGTTCGTTTGATCATCTCACATGTTGCTATCATCCTTCTGTGTGTATTTGCAAAAGGGATCATTAAAAGAGGTATAAAAGTGAAGTGTTTATTTGCTCTGCCTATCTTACTGCCAGGCTTGTTTGCTTAGTGTTTCCATTATAAAGGTCCTTCAACTTATTTGGAAGGATAATTGAAAACAAACAACCCTTGCGAACTGGAATCTTGTGCTTTGTTTTTCTGTACCAGTTCTCTGGAAGGTTTAAGCATAAATACTGTACTGTTCTTGAGATAAGGAAGTATGGGGAAAATAAAACTTTTTTTCTCGTGTGGAGGAAATTAAAACACTTGATGCCTGACACATATGAGTGGGAAATGGCTATTTGTTAATGTGTTGGAAAAAAATTTATTAGGTGGTAACTTTTACAGTTCTAACCACTACAAGGTGTTTTAATAATTGCCTGAGGTAATCTCTTTAGTGATGTTTAATGCCAGGGGAGCCTCAGAACCGAGGGTCTGTGCCTACTTTGAAGCGGTCTTCAGAAGGCAGCCAATAAAGCAAGGTTATTATCACTAGATTATAAATTTGTTATGCTGGTGTTTGCATTTCCAGGAGAAGTTTTAGGTTTCCAAAAGCGAAGCAACAAAGGTGGGAATCAGTGCACTACAGGGAAAGGCACTAATGAAACCTACAAACACCAATCCACGACTATGTGCTGCTTTAAGATAACTTACAGGGGTGCCAGTTAATGTCTCCGTATTTCAGTGGCTTTTGCAACGTTGCAAGAATAACCCTCCCCCTCCCCCCTTTTTTTTTTAATTAGTCTTCTTGGGAAGGAAACTCGAGGTTGGTTTCAAACTTGTGTTCAACAAACAAAAAAACCTGCAGTACTGATTAAAGTCTGAGTGGAAGAAACTGAAAACACTTCCAAAAAGCAGTAAAAAGTTTAAAAAGAGAGCACAGAGCAAGTATGTAGGACATGTAGTGACAGGACAAGGGGCAATGGCTTTAAGCTGACAGAGGGTAGGTTTAGATTAGATATTAGGAAGAAGCTCTTCCCTGTGAGGGTGCTGAGGCGCTGGCACAGGTTGCCCAGAGAAGCTGTGGCTGCCCCATCCCTGGCAGTGTTCAAGGCCAGGTTGGATACAGGGGCTTGGAGCAACCTGCTCTAGTGGAAGGTGTCCCTGCCCCATGGCAGGGGGTTGGAACTGGATGGTCTTGAAGGTCCTTTCAGACCCGAACGGTTCTATGTGTTGGTCTGGCTCCCCCAGTACCTCGGCATGCAAACGTAAGGTTACATTTTGAGCCCCGCTCTTCTCTTGTCTCCTGTGGAGCAGCTGCAGCCATCTGTCTGTTCCTGCTTACTGCTGTGGTTGCAGCTGAACCCACAATCCATGGCTGCCTTTCTGCTTCTGCAGAGGTTTATGTTCATTTTTTCTTGGTTAGGATGGCAAAGAGGAACTGTATATGCAGTGTTACAGTCCTTAACTGGATGTTGTAAAATACCACCCCTGTACTGTATGCTTGCAGGTAGTGGGCAGTTGTGGAGTAAACAAACAAACAGGCCGCAGAGTGGTTTCGGGTTCAGCGAAAGAAAACCAGCCTGTTCAGTTAAAAGTGTCTATAATCATTTCTCTTCAGCTGCTGAAGTGCCAAACCTTCTCCCCCTCCTTTCATTCCCCCTCCTTTCATCCCCCCTCCCAGATACAATCTAATGCGAATGGACAGCGATAATTACAACTTGATGAGGAGAGTTGAGAGTGATGATTACAATTTGCATGTGAAAAGAGAGTGCATTCCGTGCCTCTCCTCCCCACAAAGAGTTTAATTGCAGCTCCCCCCCCCCCCCCCCCTGGAGTAAGGTGGAAAATCCCCTGGACCCTCTGCAAATGGAAAACTTGAGAGTTTACTGAATATTCAGATGAGCCTCTGTGGCATTTGGTACTCCCAAATTCTGCAGCCTGTATTCTGAAAAGCACTTCTGCATTAAGGTGAGAAGAGGTATGTGCTTGTTCTGGGCATTGTGCCATCAGCACCAGATAACCTGGTGATTCATGAGTGATTCAGCCCAGTGAGTCTGCAGAGCCTGACAGGCTTTGGAGCAGGTTGATCTGTGAGCAGTCATAAATTATTCCTGCAGAGATTCGTGTACAGTTAGGTTTTCATCCCATCCTGCTGTAGCTGATAGTACAAGATCACAGCCAGATACTCCATCCAGTCATAATTTTTGGAGCTGAAACCTGTGGTGTCACCAGAGGACTTTCCTCTGAGGCTCTTTCGAACGAGCTGCTTTGTCCCAGAGCAAGGTATTTTTCCCAGCCTTCCAACATGGCCAGAAAAGTGTGTAGCAGTCCAGTGCTTGTGATTGACCATTCTTATGTGAGGTACCCTGAAATGGTGGTGATACAACAATGCCTCCATGTGACAGACATTGTGGTACTTCAGATTCATCTTTATCATAGAATTAGATAATCCTAGAATGGTTTTGGTTGGAAGGGACCTTCAAGTTCATCTAGTTCAAACACCGCTGCCACAGGCAGGGACACCTTCCACTAGAGCAGGTTGCTGCAAACCCCATCCCACCTGG